TTTATAAGCTAGTGAAGAAAAACTTTACATTTCTTGCTAGTGTTTTTGCATATATATATGACAGCAGGAAATAAATTATTTTTAATATAGGATCTCTTCTATGATTATAAAGATATAATTTCCCAGTATTTTTTTTGGGATAATGTCAGAAATCTCCCCTGAGGTTTTGCTTAATATCAGCTACCCTGAGACTTTGAAAACTCCATTACTTTTGTTATTTGTATAACAAAATTTTCAAAATCCCTAAATTACTCTTTTTACCCATTTTGCTAACTAAAAATACTCATAAGCCACTTTGTTTATTCCAAGAAAACCCACTCGTACCACCACATCACACAATTGTAACCCATAAAAATATAAATTTGAAAAATAAAAAGATATTTATAAAGAAATACATTACTAGCAATTTAATTTTATATACTCAAAACCGATCTCTTGTTAGATCTAAAGTGATTAGGCTTTGTGGATTTCGTATAGCCTTTAAGGCCTAAAGTGTGTTATTGTTGTAATAAAGTCCATTGGATCATTAATTAAGTTTACAAATACTAATTCTTTACAATTGGATTATGCTAACAATGACTTTAAAACATTCAAGAATCAACCTTTATTAGCTGGTTCCTCTGCCAATGTACATACTGCAAGTGTGCAACCCTTACATTTGCCATGGAGAGAAATGTGGTGAGTTCTCTCAAGACCATTCCTTTGTCCTTTTCGCTCCATCTAGGTTTCATCGTCTTCTCTACTCCTTTGTCTATCCTATTTTCTACTTTATTGTAGTTCAGTTCATTATCTATTTTCTAGTCCCATTTTCAATGTGGTACCAATGATGAAGAATTGGTCCTGCAGTAGCAAAATTTTAATCGGTAAATCATTTTTGAATTCAATCTCTGACTTCTACCATGTTCCAAATATGTGACCTAAGTCATAAAAACATAACAAACATAAATTTTTAATTTGATATAATAATGTTGAGCTTATTAAAGGAATTCATCAATAGTTTTATGAAGCTAAATTGGACTCTAAGTGCATTCAGATAATGAATAATGAACAACAACAACAATAATAATAATAATAATAATTGTTGAGTCTACTTGCAATTCAAATTATGCTTAATAGCGGATGGTTATTCTCCTTTGATAAGAACAAAAAACATATTTACATTCCAAACAGCATAGAGTATATAATAGCCAAATGAGCGACTAATTAAGTAGCATAAACGCCTAAACTCTATACCCAAACATCAATAACTGAAGGCAGTACTTCAAAAACCAATAGAATATTAGGGAAAAAAGAAAAAAAAAGGAGAAAATTCTACTCTGTACATAAAAAAAAAAAAAAAAAAATTCTACAAGGCACAATAAAATTTAGGGTTAAATACCAAAAACCCCTCTGTGGTTTGCCTAATGTTCATTTTACCTCCCTATGGTTTGGAAACCTACAATTTGACTCCCTGTCGTTTCAACTAAAGTAAAAGTCTAACGGAAAACATCTAAACTAACGTCTGAAAGGAAAATGTCAAAACTACCCCTCTATAAGGGTTTTGCATTAAGTACCAAAAACCACCCTGTGGTTTGTCAAATGTACACTTTACCTCCCTATGATTTAAAAATATACAATTTAACTCCCTGTCGTTTCACCTAAAGTAAAAATCTAACAGAAATTCCGTTAAATACACTTTAGTTGAAATGACAAGGAGTCAAATTGTAGGTTTCCAAACTATAGGGAGGTAAAGTGAACATTAGGCAAACCACAGGGGGGTTTTTGGTATTTAACCCTAAAATTTAGGACCCTTAAGTGATCAATTTTTCTTTCAAAAGCATATATATCACTTGTTCATCTGATTTCTATAACCATAAACAATAGCGTTAATGCTATATGCATAAAGTTCATACATGAAGAATAGTTACCAATCAGCATCTACATTGCATGCGAATAAGAAAACCATAAGTCAAGAAAATTTATCGGAACCAAAGGCAAAGTTAAGCTATGGGTGATCAATTACAAAATCGCACACCAAAGAATCTTCAATCTTTAGGCTCATCATCATCACACTTACTTTTTTTTATCAAGATATAAAAATAATTAAATCAAAATCAACTATAATCCAATGATGAAATGGCCAAACCTATTCCGATTTGTTAGAAATAGAATAAAAATTCTAGATTTAACTTTTTGCAATTCCTAATAGGTGCCATTTAACATCTGGAAATAGATATTCGTTAAAGATTCAAAAATAAGTTACTATTGTCCAGAGAAACCTAGAAAATAAAGTAAAGTGCTTCTTCTAAAATATCTCCAATAAAAAAAGGTGAAAAAAGGTACAACCATTAAAGATTCAAAAATAAGTTAGGGTTGTCCAGAGAAACCCAGAAATAAAGTAAAGTGCTTCTTCAAAAATATCTCCAAGAAAAAAGGTGAAAAAAGTACAATCCATGTTAATTAAAAAAAAAAGAATGTAATTCAGAAAAGTAGTACTACCTTTGGTTGGGCTCACATATTCCTCCCCTTTGAAAATTTTGTATAATTGTTAAAAATCAAGAAATCAAATTAAAAAATATATAGTGAATTGAATGTTCAACTCATGATGTTATGAAACAGAAAATAATCCAACTCCTTTAGAAACCTCGTCGATTGTAACTTGCACAAAACCTACGCTTGAGGGGGGAAAAAGATATCCAATATATTCATGGCCAAAACTTGCAGCAATTATAAGGAAAATACAAATACATATATCCGCAATTTATTACAAAAAGAAATTTGTATCTTCTATCCATAATAAGATATAATTTCTATGAGTAAATGTTATATACACTGACAGTGTATCCACTAATTTTGCATAGTTGTCATTCATCCAATGCTGATAGTATATACACTGTCAGTGTAAAAAAGATTAATCTAATTTCTATTATGGCTAAAGAAATTGCAAGCTAACCAGAACTACTTCTTTTCCATTAATAAGAACTACTTTTTTTTTTTTCCATTAAGAGCTAGACCTACCATTTGAAGACATTTTGTGATGCCCAGAGCAAAATGCATCCAAGCAAAGTAATTTCTAGTTGGAAACAAAATTATAGAAAAAATTTCACCAGAGAAATAGAGGCTTATACATGACAAAAATCAGGCAAAGAAAGTGAGTTGCAATGGTTGCGATTCTTGTACCGATCCATTTCTTACCTTCAGGTAAGTGGGTGGTCCAAACAAAAACATCAACTAATAACTGAAGGATTTTTTTTTTAAAAAAAAAAGGGGAAAGAAAATAGTAGGCATAGTAGTCTCAAAATCATAAAATGATCAACTCATCTACCAAAATAAATAAATAAATAAAAAGATCAATTTATAGCGCAATTTGGTGGAAAATCAAACATAAGAACATAACAAAAGAAAACAATTTTTCTGATTTACATAAAAATCACAAAAAGGAAAAACAACAAAGGAAAAATATCCCAGCAAATCTGATTCCTCAAGCATGCAAATAAAAGAGTTAAACATAATATATATATCAATTACATCTTGATCTTCAAAATAAGAAAAAGCAGGAAGACAGGGAACAATGAGAAGAACAAATGACCAAAAGGCTCAAAAAGTTGATGAACAAATGACCAAAATTTTGATTAAAAACAGTAAACATCACATTGTGATGAATTTTTGGGAAAAAGTTGGATGACTCGAGACAATCGAGACACTGAGTTGTTCATGACCATGCCGATTAAGTAGACAGAGACATGTTTAGGTAGAGAAAACATGTGTAAACAGTAAAGAGTAAAAAGTTCCTTAAATTGTCATCGTTGTCTACTTTTGGTTCTTGACCCATTTTTTGTCTTCGACTGACCCCTAAACAATTAAAAGTGTATAATTTAAGGGCTTTTAACCATTTTAAACATAAATTTGTCAGAATCCAAGGGCATTTTTGTCTAATCCAAATCAAAGCATTGAGAACTTAATAAAAAGCATCAAGAGTAGGAATAGAAACCCTGAAAAGAAAAAATTCTTCATTTTCTTTGAACTCTTCATCGGATTTCTCCACAAAATGCCTAAATTCATTGATTTCATTAGATTTTTCATGTCCCTCTCAAGTATGAAATCAATGAATTTGGAAATTTTATATAGAAATTTGATGAAATGTTTAAGAAAAATAAAGGGTTTTCTTTTCTTAGAATTTCTATTCTTGTCCTCGATACTTTTGATTAAGTTCTCGATGCTTTTGATTAATGTTGGATAAAATTGCCTTCAGTTTTGTCTGAATTTATGTCTAAAATGGCTAGAAGTCCTTAAACATACACATTTAATTGCTTGGGGCTAGTTGGAGACAAAAAATAAATTAGGGGCCAAAAGTGGACAATAATGATAGTTTAGGGACTCCCAGATTTTTTACTCAAAACAGTAAAATACACTATTCCAGCCCCTTTGCCGGATAAACCAGCAAGGAAAGGTTTTACTGTATAGGATTGAAACTAATGACCAGGTTATCCAACTTATTAAAATTTAAAACACCTAATCAACATACTAAACATCTTTTGTTAGGCCCAAATCATTTTTAGTTATTCAACCACTCCATCTAGGGGAATTCAATAAAAACAGCATGCAATTGTTGTATGCAACAATTAACAAAATTGGCATATATTCATGGATGCAACAATTTCAGAGACAAAACCAAAATAACAAATATGCCAACCCTTATTTTAGAATAAGGGTGCGTTTGATAAAATTGAAATCTGAAGTTTAAAATCTGAATCTATTAAGTTATTGAATTGTTAAGTATTAAATCAAATATATTTGAGTGTACATTACATTCAGTAATAAGTGAATAGTTTATCACTTATTTTTAGGAGCAAGTTTTGCTTAAAAAATTCAGTGTCACTTAATTAATTTAGATATTTAATTTTTAGTTATCAACATGTTTGAACGTATTAAAATTTGAATCTATTAAAATTAAATATTAAATTGAGTTATCAAACAAGACCTAAATCTACATTTACAACTACATGTATGTGTTAAAAAAATGCTAAAATTATTGGACTCATCTCTCTCTCTCTTTGTCATACCAAGAGCCAGGGCTTCCTCACCGAAAATTTGGAGTCGAAGGCAAAATTCACCCTCATGTTGTAGCCCACTTGCATTCCTATCTATTCCCATCCATAATAAGAGAACAGCGCTAGCGGCAGCAAAAGTGCAAAACAAATGCAAGCATTTCCTTCCAGTTGCCACGTGGCAGCATGGGAAGCAGCTACAGCAAGGAGCAACTCGTTCTTATATTTAGAAGTTAGAAAGGACAAGGCTCTCGGGGAGAGGTGCTTCCAAATTTCATGTCAAGGTTCATGTAGTAAACAGGTGAAATTTTTTTCTGATTCTCAACTAATTAGTATTACTGATGATTCTCGGCAATATATAGGCTAAAAATATGATTAACCCTCTTTTTATCGCTCTCTTATCAATTCGAAGTACGAGGCTGCTGGGTTGGAAAGGGGAGATGGCCTGAACTTGTCTCGATGCGAAAAGTGTTCGACCAAATGCCCATATGAAAATTGAGTAATGCAACATTAAGTTTTTGGAAAATTTTTATGGGTTTTTGTTGTGTGTGATGGTTATATAGGATAAATAGCCAACACAAAAGCTGAAGAATCAAATGGGCAATTAGAAGCTGTTTTTATTTGATCATTTTGCTAACTTGAATATTTGGATGATAATTTGTTGTTGTTTTAGAGGTAAGTGTGCGGTTTTCTAACTCACTGCTTACTGTTTGGAAACAAGCAGTTAAGAATTTTGTGTGGAAGAACTACACTTCCTAGCGAAAAAAGAACCTCTACGTTTACTGCATTGGTTCCTGTTCAAATTTCATTATGCGCTTGGCAAAATGTAGTCTAAGCCAAAGCAAAAGATAGAGAAAAAAGGCAGTTAAATCTGTGTTTGTTGATCCATTTTGCTGGCTGACTTGAATACTTGGATGACAAAGTATAGCGGTTTTAGTGGTAAATGTGCAGTTTTCCAACTCACTCTTTATTGTTTGGAAATAAGCAGTTAACAATTTTGTATCGAAGAATTACTTCTCTTAATGAAAAGAGAATCTCTATGTTAACTGCACTGGTTACCGTTCAAAATTTGCTATTTGCTTGGAAAGATTTAGTCCAAGCAGTAGAACTTTGAATCCTGCATAAAGTTAGTGAAGGCAATTTTTGTATTCTTGAATTAGCAGTGAACACGTTGTCTGCATTGACTGTTAATCTAACATGCTTTTTTTTTTTTCTGGAATATGACATATGAAATAGAATACTATACAACATGCAGCAACTACAGAATCTAAGTTCATATTTTCTCCGAAAACTGCAAATAAGTTGCCATTTTTAGGCCTGTGCAAAAATTTGAATTACACCTGAAAAGTGGATATGCTATTTAACTTATGAGTGACTTCTTCTTTCTGATTGAGAAACAGAAAACAATCACTGCACCTCTTTGTTTTCTTGATTTTATAATGATCAGGCCATGTATTATTGTCCCAGGCCTTTTTGATATATTTATCTGCATAATTTGTTATCAGCATTATTCATCTATGACTTCCAGGAAGCTTTGTTTTAGAACAGTTAGGTGGTTTTCGACTTAACGATAAATATATTTGGGTTCTGAAGAATGCATATTTGTCTTGTTGCAGATTCAGGTCTAAAGTTTGAACTACAATGAATATAAGATGGCCAAGGCTTCTAACACCCACACAGCTCTCACAAATTATAAAGAGCCAGAAAAACCCTTTAAAGGCTCTTCAAATATTTAGAGAGGCAAAATGCAGATACCCTGGTTATCGTCACAATGGGCCGGTCTATAATACAATTATCAGCATCCTTGGAAACTCAGGCAGGATAGCTGAGATGAAGGAAGTGATCTGCCAAATGAGAGATGACTCTTGTGAATGTCGAGATTCAGTTTTTGCTGGTGCCATCCGAACTTATTCAAAGGCCGGTCTTTTAGGTGAAGCCATTGCACTATTTAGAAGCCTTCCCCAATTCAACTGTGTGAACTGGACAGAATCTTTTAATACACTTTTGGAGATAATGGTGAAAGAATCTAAGTTAGAGACTGCTCATCTCCTCTTCGTGGAGAATTTTTCTAGCTGGGAAGTGAAGTCTAGGACCCAATCTCTGAATTTGCTTATAAATGCTTTGTGTCAGTTGAATCGTTCTGATCTTGCTCTAAATGTTTTCCAAGAAATGTATTACCAATGCTGCAATCCTGACAGGGAAACTTATAGGATTCTCATGAGGGGTCTCTGTCAAGATGGGAGGCTCAATGAAGCTACGCATTTGCTGTACTCAATGTTCTGGAGGATATCTCAAAGGGGTAGCAGCAGAGATGTTGCTATATACAGAATTCTCTTGGATACTCTTTGTGATAATGGAGAGGTTGAGGAGGCAGTAAATATTCTTGGTAAAGTTTTAAGAAAGGGACTTAAGGCCCCAAAACGATACCACAAGCATCTGGATCTTAGCGAATGTTATTCTGGTGGCAGAGCTGATATTACAAGCATGAAGGTTTTGATAAATGAAGCTTTGATTAGAGGTGGAGTTCCAAATACAGATGGTTACATAACAATGGCCAATGACCTATACTCTGAAGGAAAGATTAATGGAGGTGATAAAGTACTAAGTGAAATGCAGGACAGAGGCTTCAGACCATCATCACTGGTCTTTGAAGCTAAGGTCGCTGCATTATGTAGAGATGGTAGATTTGATGATGCAGTAGCAGTACTTGAAAGAGAAATGGTGGAGAAAAATTGCGTTCCATCTGTGAAGCTATACAATGCTGTAATAAAAGGTCTTTCTGAAGGACGAAAATCTACGTTTGCCATCAGGTACTTAGAGAGGATGTCCAGGCAGATTGGTTGTGGACCTGACCATGAGACATATACTCTCTTAGTAGATGGCCTTTGTAATGATGGTAAATATGTTGAAGCAAGTAATATAGTCGAGGAAATGTCAAATAACTCTTTTCGGCCCAGAAATGAAACTTACAATAAACTCATCCAAGGTCTTTGTTTGACAGGAAGTTCTTATAATGCCATCATGTGGTTGGAGGAGTTAATCAGTGAAGCAAAAATACCAGAACTTTCTACATGGAATTCATTGGTGTCTTCGGTTTGTTCTGAATCTGTTTGTACTCAGACTTTCTCTGACACACTGAAATTACTGGTAGATTCTTCTTGATAGTGCATCTAGAGCATTCTTTTGTATTTAGGTCTGTGTACTGGTTGATGGTTGCTCATAGAAAGTTGTAAGTGCAATTACTTTCACCCAACAATCCTAGAAATTCGTAAATTAAAGCTGATAGAAGAATGGAAGGAAGCAATATTTTGTACTGAATTGACGTGTGCTTGAAATACTAATGGAAATTTTGCCTTTTTTACTGGGAGTATGTTTATTAAATATTTGAATGTATCTAATCATCAAATCTGGCATCCATTCACTCACCAAAAGATGATCTGATGAATGAATAGAACTCCATTGATGCTTCTAGTTCAGGCTTTGTATGCTTATTTGCATTTGTTCTGGTATTCTGGAAAGTAATGCTTAGAAGCATGATGTCCAAACGTTATCCAGATACACTTCATCTCCAACAATGGTATTTTGATTTGTGATGTCCAGTGCTTAGCATTTTTAGTTGGTTTGGCTAATCTTATGCTCTGAATTTGCTAGATTCCATTAGTCCTGTACATAGACTTTTATGGTGCATTTATTTATTTGGTATCCTCAGAGTTCACTGGATGCTACTTTGTGAAGCAAGGAGGGTTAAGTCAGTGTTCAGGGAGTGGAGGTTCACTTGCCTAGCCAATTACATGCCCAATGGCTTTGCCAGTTGTTGAAGAACGTGCAAAAGCTGAGTGCTAGGTATTGATGTCATTTACCCTGCACGGTTGATCCTAGATGTTTGTTAACTAAAGTTGTATATGATGCATGAATCAAGTTAGTAGTCAGAGGCCTTGATGTTTTGGTATGTAAGTTTCTGTCATTAAGAAGATAGTCCAGAAATGAAAACATTTACCTGCTGTTGCCACCAATTGAAGGTGATAGTTGAGTAAGTCAATGTAGTTAGAGACCTTGCAGTTATAGGTCATTTATGGGCATTGCCTCAACTACTTGTTTCCCCTAGTTTACTCCTTAATGCTGGGTAGATAAGCATGATCTTGTGCACGCAAAACTACTAATTCCCTTCTCCTTTATTACTCCTGCAGCCTCCATGGTTCTATTGGATGTATTTTTCTCAGTTGCTGCTGATGCTTCTGTACAGATGATTATCCCTGTCAACCTTGTTTATATGAGGTAATCATGATTGGGTGATTAAAATTTGGTATAAGACAGATCTGAACCCAGAGGGAGAGTTTTTAGACTTTATTGACTATGTGGGGTTCAGTTTTGCCTCCCCTTTTCTTCTCCAGGTGCATGGATCAATGTTAGACATGCTAGCATTTTTTGTTGTATGTCTTCAAGAGAATTATATATCGTAACTGTCTCTGCCTTAAGAAGTTACTTTTCTATCCAACCCCTTCAGTTTGAGTGATTACCGCATGTGCAGTATGTGTCTCTTTGATGCTCTGACTAACAGCTATATGATTTTTTCGGAACTTTTGACTTCTGTTCCCATGTACTACCAATAAAGCCAGGGTTTTTTTTTTTTCTTTCTTTCTTTCTTGGTTGCTTATGCACTGGGTTCAGCAACAAATTAGTCCGCTTGACGCTTCTCTCGAACACTGGATGTTAATTAGTGTATATATTGTATTCTAGGCTATATCACTGTGTCAATTTTCACTTCTGTATGACAGCTAAAGCTTCTGAGCTATGTTTTACATTCGAACCCCATGGCATCTGAATTGACAGCTGAGTTCTGAGTTAAATGTTGATCAATATCACTCCTTGTGTAGTAGTTTCTATGCCAGCATCGTGCCAAGTAAGAGCTTATAAATATCTCCACAGGGTTGTTCCTGTGTCAGGACAATGTTTAGCTCTTCGTTGAGAATAATTACACACTTTCGTAACAGTACACGAGGTTGTCACGATGCTCTTGTACCCTACTTTTCCTGAACCAGTTGCTGGCCTCTTCTTCACGATTCCTCTAGTACTAAGGTCCATACCTTGCTCATCCAAACAAGGCAATTAGCATATTCATCTACAGTTTCTGCCATTGATGCCTTTGTGGACTCCTCCTATCCATTGCATGTTAGTATTTCAGCATCAGCCTTGTCTCGCAATATCATTTCTCCGAGTTTTGTGATTAATTTGCTTTTCTTTACTCACCTAGAAGGATGTTTGCACCAGTGATGAGTTGATACGCAAGTGTACCTCAAACTCTGCCAACTTGAATGATTTCCATCCAAATTCCAAATTAGTCCAAAATGTGAAAAGGTTATGTGGAGGTTTTTAAACAATAAGGAGGTATGGTAAGTGAATCCCAAATCAAACCACAAGGGAGTTTTCTATATTTTAGATCTAAGTTCTCTTCTTTTTTTTTCCCTAATTGATAAGTTATTCACTAATAAGTTGGATTGTTTTATTAATTAGGTGATAAAAGATTTTATATTTTTCTCTATGAAATGAATAACTTGTCATTGTTACCCACTAATTCTGAAATCTGAAATTTGAAGTAGGGAAATCTTAATCCATTAAGAAATTAAATTATTAAGTACTAAATCTCATACAATTCATTATGTAAATCTAAATACATTTTTTAGTGTAAGTGGGGGTTTCGAACTCGAGACTTTTCACTTACATCCCCCCCCCCCCGGCCGGCGTAAATCTAAACACTGAATACAGTATGCTTGTTAGATAATAATAAACAATTGAACATTGACTTTTATATATTTAATAAATTTTTCTTTATGTTAATTTTTTAAGTAGTGATGTTATTAAAATGTTATATTTTATTAGTTATATATATGATTTAATTTCATTGAAAATAAGACGTTAAAAAAATAATGAACTAGAAAATAAAAATAAAAATACATTATAACAGATTTGTCAGAGAAAAAACAAATTTGTTTGAGGTGAAACAAATATTAGGACAATCTTCAACAGTTTCTTTTGCTTCTTATTAACATCTATAGATGCAGTAAAAAAATTATTTTGGCATAATAAATGTTATAAATCTTGCATTTGCATTAAGTGATAGTGAGCAGTTTATCACTTAGTTTTTGTAGTATGTTTTGCTTGGCCAATTCCAAACCACTTAATTAAATAAAAAAGTTATATTTTTATTAACAAACACATTTGAATATATTAATTCTGAATCTATTAAAATTACATAATTATTTTGGCACAATTATAAATCTTGCATTTGCGTTAAATGATAAATGAACAGTTTGTCACTTATTTTTTGTAATATGTTTTGTTTTGGCAATTCAAAACCACTTAATTAATTAAATATGTTCCTTTTGTTATTATCAAACACATTTGGACATTTTAACTCTAAACCTATTAAATTTAAGGGTTGAATTATGTTATCCAATAGGGTCTAAGTATCTTTTTTTTTTTTGCGCTACTAGTAATCTACAATTTTTTTTCCTTTTCTTCTTCTTCTTCTTCTTCTTTTTTTTTTTTTTTTTTTTTATAAGTGGAAGGTCTTAAACACATGACCTTCTACGTACAATCTCTCTTACCTTGCCATCCAACCTAACCATTCCCCAAAGTAATATGGGATTTGGTTACTAGTAATCAAGTAATAAGACATTTTGCATTTTTTTTAACAAGCCACGAGCAAATTGAATTGAACTTATTACTTGTCCAGTAGGCTGATTTAAAATATATATATATATATATATATATATATATATACACACACACACTACTGCAGCAGCTTTGCGCAATACATAATTTGACTAAATCGCGGCATGTTTCTTTGTTATCGGGCCAATGTTATGCCATTGTTACTTCTGTCCGCCAAGTGTAAATGGTGTAGAATTCTTGTATAAAAAAACTTACAGTGAGGATGTACATATATACTGTCATATTTAAATATATGTTACATGTTGAAAACTTATGTTTGGATTGTAAATTATTTGAGATATTTTTACTGTAATACTTTTTGTGATGTGATATATATGAGATAAAAAGGTAATTGAGAAGATAAAAAAGTGTATTGAAAATTGTAATGATGATGCAAACAAATATATTTGGACAAATAATCTCCAGTCCAAACACACTCATTAATAATATTCAAATATGGCCAGTATATGCACTGTGAATGAATAATTTTAGATCATACTGTTCTTTTATTGTTTTATTCTTAGTGGTTATTTTTAACTAGTAGCTAGGTTCTAGTATATAATGACCAATATGTATATGTATATGTGTCTAGAAGTTCCGCTTCAATTGAATATCTGCTTAATATCTTTCTTCTTTTCCAACAATCACTTTTTGGGTTTTTTTTTCCTCCTTTGATGTAGGATCGGATTTTACCTTTTGTACTTATTGTTCTCATCCCTTTTTTAATTCTTTTTAATATCATAATCTCATAATGTAATTAAGCCATGAATATATGAATGAACTAGACTTTTTTGTTTTACATATCATTTTCTCTCTATTTGGCATTAAACAAGTGACTAGGGATTAGTATATATGACCAACATGTGTTCATCTCAAAGCTGCATTTACATTGAATATCTGCTTAATGTCTTTCTTCTTTTCCAGTAATCACTTTCTAGATTTTTTTCCCTTCATCTAGGTTATGATTTTAGCTTTTGTACCCATTGTTTTTTATTATTTTTTATTCTTTTTAATGTCATAACCTCATAACGTAATTAAGCCACCAACATATGACTAAATAAGACTTTTTTGTTTTTACATATCTTTTTGTTTTTATTTGCATTGTTGACAATATAAGACTTGACGGGGCTCGAACTAATTTGAGTCCACAATTACTTTATACCTAATACCTAGAATACTTTATCTTGTTCTCTTTATTTTGCAACTATAGGGTGTTTCTTTTTTCTGAGGTCCAATTATCTACTTAATGTTTTAACAACATTTAAAGGGGAGGGGGAGAGGAATGGATGGGGTGGTATGGGGAAGGGAGTGTAAGTGGAAGGATGGGTTGGATGGTATGAAAGATAATTTTGAAATTTCTTATATATTTCAGATCTGTTCATAATTTTTTAATTTATTGTATCTGATGAATTGTACACGTTTAACCTACCATTTTATAATTTCTAGTACCCGTTCAACCTACCATTAGAACTATTATTAACTCATAACACTTGTATGCAATTAAATTTATGGATAATTTTAGAAACCTCCCCTGAGGTTTCTGACTATTGCAGGAAACTCCCTTTTAGTTTAAAAAATTACACCTACCTCCCCTATGATTAGCATTTCAGTAACAATATAGACCCAATATGCTAATTTTGTCCTGAAAAATCCTAAAATACCCCTTTGTTACTTAGAAGGAGGAAAAACTCACTAATAAATTTCTTTCACATTACAACTATTGTAAACGATATAATCACCATCCTAACAAACTTAATAAACCACTTCACCTTAATTCCCATATTCTCACGATTTTGATAGCCTACCATTGTCACCCCAAAGCTTCCCGTGCAAATTAATTGTGATAATTAAAGCTTGCATTCAACCTAATCTTTAGTCTCATTTTTTTCTTTGCTTAAATTCAATGTTTGAATTAACCAATGTCACTATCCAAACTCAATCCAAATGGATGCAACCTTGTTGATGCTAAAATAATCGAACCTATCAAGAATACCAACACGAAGCAACCAAAAGCAACACTAGAGACCACATCCCACGTCTCTAAGCAAATCTGATTGCAATTTTTATATTCTAAAATTTTTTTTACACAATTGCCATAATACCGTAATCTTCGTCACTCCATATTCCCTTTTTAGCTATCACTTTCATTTTCTTTTATATACTCTATATCACTGCCATCTTTTTCACCTTCATTTAGTTTAACAACAAATATGGTCGGGCAACTTGTCATTTTGCAATTTCAATTCAATAATACTTATAAAAAAAAGGAAGACAAAAAATAGAGAGGATCTATTTGCAGAAAAATAGTGAATTATGAGATGCAGGAGAAAGAAGGTAGGAGAGAGAGTCGGAGAGATCGAATAAGAGTTTATTTTATGTGGCAATCGTTATTTTAGAATGAAAGACTAGTTGTAATTGCAGGGTTTTTTTTTTTGTTTTAGGAATTATTTATAAGTGAAGAATACTATAGTCATTTTTACTACATAAAGGGAGGTTAGTGCAATTATTCAAACTTGAAGGGAGGTGAGTGACATTGTCAAAAACCTCAGGGAGGTTACTGAAGTTATCCCTTAAATGTAACAAAAATTAGGCAAAGAAAATAACTGAAACCTACCCGATCTCCACGTTGATGCCGAGTAAGTTACTTGCACCAAGTTTCCTCATCCTTCAAATATTGAAACCCTTATTCCCTCCAACAAATTTGTTCTTCTATATTTTTCTTTTCAAATATTGAAACCCTTTATCCCTCCAACAAATTTGCTCTTCTATATTTTTTTATTGGAAAAGTCTGAAGTAACGAGCGTT